TTTTGCTATGAAAATATCATTTTTTGTTCGGGGGGTACCCTAGAAATCATTTATAAGAGCTTCTGTATGGATTGATTCCCAATTTTTTTCGAAAAAAATAACTTTTTGCCAAGACATCTATGCAAAAAGTGTATTTCTAGGGTACCCCCCGAACAAAAAATGATATTTTCATAGCAAAATGCATGAAAAACGTAACTTTTCTTCGGGGGGTACCTCAAAAAGCCAATTTTCAGAGTTTTTGTCTGGTAAGACTCCCCATATTTTCGAAGAAAAATAACTTTGCACAAAGACACCCACCCTAAAAGGTCTATACTTAAGGATTTTTTGGCCAAAAATCGATTTTCTGAGGGTTGAAATCGAATCAACCGAATATGCGGCTAGAAATATATGAAAACATCACTCGACTTGGTCATGTAGGTACTTAAAATGTTCGTGAGGGATCATACTAGATGTTCAAAGGTAGCAAAGGCAGAAATTGTTTGCTCAATGGGGTGATTTAGCCGTGAAACTGAAGCTCATGGTCGTGATTTGCACAATTTGGTCCCAGAAAATCGTACTTTTTGACACAAAAATCACACAAACCTGTAACAAATGAAACTAGAAATCGATCCCTCGTCTAAAATTGTCTGGATATAGACACATTTTCGTACGTATGTTGGCTATAATTTGGCTTTTAGAATTTTTAATTGAAAAAAATGGCCAAATTTGAGGTGATTTTCGAATATTTGTTGCTCTATCCATGTCCAGAGGCACATTTTGAGTTGTGATATGGCGTTATATCGATAGCTAGGAACAAAATGAGTCTGATAGAGGTATTTTCAGATTGATTTATAGTGGACTGGATCACCATGAATGGGCAAATATACAGAAAAATGACAAATTTCGGCGATTTTTGGCAAATTGACACTATTTTTTTTGAATATCCTGAAAAATCGCTGTGAATCGATCCTATTCAACGTAGTTTGTTACGAGCTGCCGAATTACGGCAAAAAACGGTATGTTTGAGCATCACATTTAGAGCAAATTGCGATAATATGTCGAAAAATTGTCATTTTTTAGGTGATTTTCAAAAAAAATCCGGGGTGACACCAGGCACTATATATCAAAAAAGTGCCGGAACAAAATTTTCATCTCTCCTCATGATCTTTCGATCCCGCACTATTAAATTTTGAATCCTTTTTTTTTTGAAAATTGATCACCCCTAATATATATGTAATATATATTACGTATAAAAGCCGAAACTACTAAAACCGAAGAGAGAATGTTGTATTTTATTAATTATGATGAAAATTTTAAAAAAACACTGGATTTTATTAATTTTTCCCGTACATTTTGTGGGTGACAAAAATGTCAGGAAAGACAGCCTACGTTTCATTTAGGTAAAGACAGTCAAAAGGTTAAGTAAAACTTTATTTGAATTTTGTTTTTGAGCACAAAATGACACAAATATTGAATAATTAAAAACAAAGTTTTTGTTTAAATTTTTAACCTTTTTGTCACTTTAATTATTATATCGATCGGCGATACAATTGTTTCGATAGCTCAAGCTATCATCATCAGTCGCAATTTCAAGTACAACTAAGTAAAACTTTGATTGACATTTCAGTACAAAGTGTAGTGTAAGTCTATCATAGTTAATTGAAATCATTTGAAGTTACGAGTCAATCTAAGTTGCTTAATTTGGGACAAAGTGGTTTTCTTAGAACAAAAACATAAATTCAATCAACTAAAGTCAACTGAAGTTATAGTCAGTCAGACATTTTTTTTTCACACGGGATACCCTCCCTATACACTATATTTGAATGTGTGAGCGCAAAAGAGCAACTTAGATTTGCAGTATTTTGAAGTGTAACATCTCCATAAAAAACACGTATACGTTTGTATGGAGATGTTACACTTCAAAATACTGCAAATCTAAGTTGCTCTTTTGCGCTCACACATTCATTTATGACACCTGAAACATATCGATCACTTCCAAATTGCATCTAATGTATAAACGAATTCAAAACAGAAATGTTAAAAGCAAAATCAACACGAAAAACGTTTTTTTTCTCTCAAAAAGTAAATTGATTACCTTGAATTTCATTAATCTAATTTCCATGAATTTTATGATATACTGTTTTACGTCCATCTCTCTTTGCTTTGCCCTTTGCTATACTATGGCAATCTCGTTGACAGTAATTAAAGCACTGACGTATATAGAATATATTAACTGATCTATAAAAAAAACTCGATTTGGATCATTTGTCCATGTTCTTTAACTTAAATTGGTTTAGCCGGCTATTTTAGCTGGGCGAATCTTTATTCGCAAACAATTTATAATGTCAACTACGATTTCATTTCAATTCTAAACTGTATCAGGTTTTTTTTATGCCTTTCTTGCTATTTTTGTCTTTTTGTTTATTTTTCGTTAGAGGAAGTTTTGGTTAGAAAAAACTGAATGAGTGGATTGAGACTTTATCGTTGGATTTTGATAGAAAAGTTTTACATGAATCTCAATTGAACATTTCTTTCTGTTTGAAGTTTAGTATGAATTGCATGCCGACTCCTTTCTTTCAATTAAAAATGAAATGAAAAAAAGGAATTTTGACTCAACAGACGATTATTCTTTTGCAAATGTCAACCCAATACAAAACGATGCTACCAGATACCTAGGGGAATTTATCATTCAATGCAGTTTGTATGATTGAAGTCTTTTTCCAAATTCAAACAATATTCTTATGTTTACACACAGATTCAAAAGATTCACTCAGATTCAACACATTACTGTGAACGATTCGTCATGAATACGATGAATCTGATGAATCTCGTGAATCCGAAGGGTAAACATAATGCATACCGGGCAACGCAGCCAACTTCACGTTGGTTATCACTTGGTTACTACTGCAACGCATTGACGTATGCTTGTGTTCAAAAAAAACCCAATTAAAATGAACTAAAACCAAATGAAAATTTATTCCAAATAATTTGAGCGATATATTTTTTAATAAAGTATAATTTCTACTTATATTCAACCAAGTTTTAGAGAAATCATAGTCTTTGTTTTGCTGCAACAAGACCTTGTTGTTTAGTCAGAATGAAAGTAGAAATTAATTGTGAACAATCCATTTCAAAGTCTTATTGCAGCGAAACCAACTCTATGATTTTTTTTCAAATTTTACCAAATATAAATAGAAAAGGTACTCTTTCAGGAAATATGTTTTCTAATTTTTTTTGAATCTACTTTTCATTTGGTTTTAGTTAACTTTAATCTGGTTATTTTTCAATCAGAAGCATACGTCAATCGCAACGCAAAGTGGCACAAGGTTATACCATTTTTCGCATACACACGCGTATGAACGCAACGATTGTATGCAGAAACTGCAGTTGGCCGGGCAACCGCTTTGGTGTGGCGCTGTCAACAATGTTGGCCCATTTATTCACACTTTGCGTGAATCCAAATTGAAAATGGCGACAGAACTGTCAGTCGCCATATTGGATTTCAGTAAACAGAAGATTCACAAGATTCGTAAGATTCACACCATTTGGAAAGTCAGTGATTCCCCTAGCCAGATACAGCCGAACAACGGCATTTGCATCAAATTCGGAAACTTTATTACTAGCAACGTGAATGCTTTTCAGCTTCAAAAAAGTTTGCTTTGCCCGAGAAATAAAAAAAAAGTTCAAAAATACATTATTCTAACACGTGTTTTGTTTTCTTCTGTGTATTCTATACAGATTTAGCTGTGTGATTTAACATGATTGATGAATAGCCATGAAAAAGAAATAGACCCAAGCATCTTTAACGATGATCGTCACCGCTAATTTATTTCAATCTAGATAAGAATTTGAATTTATGCCAATTTTGATACGCTAGTAGCTCTGGCCATCCAGAGTATAAAAGCCATCGCAAAAACAGCAATCAGCATCAGTTAGGTTGATACACTCTCGTAGCACGCTAAACTAAAAACACTAAAAATGTTCAAATTGGTACGTGATTTGAATTGGTGGTCGATTTTGCAAAATTTCAAAGAAATATCAAATTTTTTGGTGTTTTTGTATTTGAATAAACGGTGATTTTGACTAACTCTGTACATTTTCGGTTTAGGTTACTTTGTTCGCTGTCTTCGCTTTGGCTGCTGCCAAACCAGGACACCTCGGTGCTCACTTGGCTGCTGTTCCAGCTGTCTCAACCTACGCTGCCGCTCCATTGGCCACCTCATACGCTGCACCAGCTTGTGAGTTGATTTTAAATTTTACTTACTCCAAAACGAAGACAGTTCTGTATTGTGTGTACCATCAAGTGTACGCTCACTTCGAGTGAGCTATGACATAACTACCAAAAGACGCACTGTATATTCATGCAATCGGGATATTCACATTCATTCATATTACACATTAAGCTCTGAAGAACCTTATCCAGTTGAACCATTCTAAACGTTTATATCTCTAATTTTCTTTATTCTCAGACGCCGCTACCTCATACGCTGCCCCAGCTTTGGCCACATCATACGCTGCCCCAGCTTTGGCCACATCATACGCCGCCCCAGCTTTGTCCCACTCATACGCTGCTCCAGCTTATACCAGCTCATACGCTGCCCCAGCTGTCTCAACCTACGCTGCCGCTCCATTGGCTACCTCATACGCTGCCCCAGCTGTCTCAACCTACGCTGCCGCTCCATTGGCTACCTCATACGCTGCCCCGGCTTTGGCTACCTCATACGCTGCCCCAGCTTATACCAGCTCATACGCCGCCCCAGCTTTGTCATCATGGTAAACATCTCCGATATTGAGGAACAGCACATCAATACCATTGAAATGTGCGCATAAATAAATAAGAAAAAAAAAATCTTGTGAACATCAGACTGGCTAAATAAAAACACCAGAAAAATTAGGCAAGAAAAATGCAACGACTGTTTTTATTGACTCTCGGTGTTGTTGATATCATATTTTATCACACAAACAATCCATTTTAATTTTTTTGGGAATCACCCTTCTCTTGACATACAAAAAACACGATTTTCACACACTGTTTATGCGAATGCGTTGGTTCCAAAAAACATCAAATATCAACAGTTCGGCAGAGAGGATGAACAAAAATTGTATCAAAACGATAAAGGTCATTAAAACAATTGATGAGAAAAAAGATTGCACTCGCCTGTGCAATCCAGTCGGTTATGTCAGTATAAAATGATAATAAAACGTGTCTCTGTCTGTCTAATGCGAATCATCAGAAGTTGAGAGTCTCTAGTAAAGACCACATACTAAAGACACTCTATTATGAACTCAATTAGAGCGACACCCGTCGCATCACTTGGAACTAAATTAGAGTTCGATCGAAATTTGCCGACTTCTCCGTAATAATGCATCCAAAATTTGGATTCTAAATTTACTTACAACTCAATGACAGTGCCGTTTGATTGAGTTGAAAATAACCGAATTAAATAGATCGAAGTCAGTTAACGAGGAAAAGTTTTTGGTTCCTTTGAAAATGTATTTTTTCTCCTTTTTCCAAAGGAAGAACCCATCTCGAACGTCAAGGAACCTATCTGAAGAAGGCAAAATGGCAAAAATTGCTCATTACTAAGTGAAACTTTCTTGAAACGAATGCAAATACGAATTCTTTGTATTCTCATTTTGAATTGTACAAATTCAAAAGAGCTCAGAGCGGACCAAAAAAGGAACGAGTTGAATTTATTCACAGTTGGTATGAAACGTCGTTTCATTGAGACGTACGTCAGATAATAAATTGCAGCGCAAATGTTCATTGGCACCGAAAACTGGATGATTTCGACAAGAATTTTGATTGAATGAACAAGTTGCGAACTTCTTTGAATAATAAACTTCCTCTTTTGTCGCAGTGTGTGTGTGTGTCTGCCAAAATAAATGTCGACGAATTTTCCACATAAATTTTGCCGGCATCAAGTTGAAAGCACGGTACTAAATGCGTCACATGTACATTAAATGGTTATATGTGTGTAAATTGTTGCGATGCAATTCAAAATGTTTTGTGCAATTTGAAATGTTTTGGATTGGCTGCGAACCCATTACTAACAAGATATTACTAGCAAGTCATTGCAAAGGATCGCACTCTCTCTCTATTTCTCTCTCTCTCTCTCTCTCTCTCTCTCTCTCTCTCTCTCTCAATAATATTGATAATGGTGAAGTGCACACATTTGACTACCGTTTGACACTGGCACTTACATCAATTTTAATAAAGTTTACGACGAACGCAATATAACAAGTTTATTCTAGTTATTTCCACTTGTTCGAATCATTTGGAAATTTTTCCGTTTTTAATGTTGAATTTTATTGGTGTTGTTGGCAATCGGGTGTGCACTGTGAAATCATGAATTGTTCGCCCGTCAAACTCCAAGTCAATCGTCAGCGTATTGATGATGTGCCATTTCGTTCACTTTTACACATTCCAATTTATTCATTGAATTTTGCCGTTTCATTCCCTTTCAAACTGAACAGTTCCGTCACTGAGCTCATCGCACTTTTGAGTCGATGTAATAAAGCAATTGTTTACGTTCCACTCGGCATAGAACGGTGAAGACGGTTCCGGAGACTAGGAAAATGTACAAAAACATCGAGTGACAATGTGCACAATGATAAATTTAATGGCAATTCTTATTTCGAGTGCACTTCGACATTGCCGTTTTTAAGTCGAAGCTAAAAAATTATATAGCCAAAAGTTAATTTCACATGTGGAGTATATCCGCGATGTCGTGTCATATAAAGAGTAGCTGCCGTAAGCATTTCTTGGTTGACTCGCATAGATGTGCAAACATTTATATTCGTGAAATTAAATTTTATGAGTGGAAAATACAATATTCTCTCTCGACCGCCTTTTTAATGTGCTTTGCCTTGCCTTGTGCGATGTCTACAATTTTATTACGTTTCAATGTCAAACAATTGAGCTGCTGCCGAAGCTGAAGCATCGAAGTTTAAAATGAGGGGATATTTGTGTCTCAACCTGAACGCTTTTGTTTTCCTTGTGGATTCAATAAAAATATTTTATCAAAACCCCATTTTTCGGACGATCTTGTTGTTGTCCACTCAATGGATAATCGCCATTTTTGCCAGAAGCCAGAGACAGATTATGTTGGCATAACAATAACCCTAAAAATTATTGCGACTACCAGGTTATTATTTTTATTTGATTCACTTTAATCATGCAAAAACACTTCATCGTTTGATGCAATGTTCAACCGAGAAAATACTAGTCCATTGTCGTCTAGACAACACTTTGCTGTGATGAAATTTACTTTAGCCGTTTACTTTACATTTTGTAAATGCCAGCATAACACTTGCTTTCGCTCACAATGCGCCACTCAGAAATATTGATATATTTTAATGGCAGAATAATGAAACACAAACACAGGACTACAATGATACACATCGTCGCAAGTGAAAGAATTCGGATAGCATTTGTGTGTACAGTACATGGATCGTTAAGTCAATACCTTTCCATTGATTATGATTTCATGAGCTAACGAGGAAAAATCGGGTTTGTGACAGGAAAATGTGAATAATTATTATTTATAATAGCATGGTTGGGAACCAGAGGCATGATACATGGACATGTGAAATAACGTTTTTCTTTCAGTTGTGGAAAGAATGATTCGAATTCGGTTTGAACTTTTAGTTTTGAGTATTAAAGAATTTTCTTTGGCCTTTCTTTTTGTAACAGACATTATGAATTTCGGACTTTGGTTCGCCTATTAAATGTTGGCTTAAGCCAAACCAAATTTGATTCGTTGAACTTCAACATGAAATCTCTTCTCTTACTAGTCGGCGGGAAAGTGCGGCATTTTAACGGGATATTGAAAACTGAAATTTCATTTAGAGGAAATCGTCTCGCAAAAAATGTTCCAAACCTTTCTAAACTGTTGATGTTTTTGCTAGGAATGAAAGCGAATAACCTTAGCCAGCTAACGACTACTAGCAGTGAACAATAGCTATTCAATTATCACTTATTCAGTTTTCTCCCTTTTAGCGTTTATAACTCTTTATTCCCTCGAACGCCCACAAGTTTCGAAAAGAGTTTCAATGTTTCAGTCTATGAATAGTTCAACGTTCAAACATGTCCATGGTTGAAATGGAGAAAAGCACTTAAATCACCGGAATGGTTATTATTAAGTTATGTCTCGTGTTACGTGAACATAATCGATATGTGTCAATAGCCCTTTGAAATTACTGACCCAGTTTTATAGTTTTTTTTTCTAAATATGGCTCACGTCAAAAATACACAAACTATTTTGGTATCTTGTGTATTTTTGAAACTGACAAAGCACGAGGTAAGACTCGAGGTAATACTACCGCTGGAAATTTCTTTTTGATCATCAGTGATTACTAATTACTGAAAAAATCGATTTTCAATCAGTCTTCATTACCTTATTTGGTTCTTTTGAGTGTTTCAGTTATAATAATCTCCAGAATAAATGAGACGGTTGAAATAAAAATGGGACATTTTCCGTTAAATACATTTGAAACAAAAATGTATTCAATCTCAAGTTGAAATAATATTTATTTTGTCAAATTTGTGTTTTCGCAAACAATCTTCTTTATAATAACTCAAAAACCGCTTGATGAATACTCTACTCATTGTAGACTAACAGTACACTCTCCGTATTAAGTATTGACCGGATACTAATTGAGAAATGTTGAATGAAACTCTGAAAATGGATCTTAAGCGTATCTCTGTATTGCATGAGTAAATCATAAATGATGTGACTATGATATGTGTCATAACAGGAAATATCTTCAACATGCGTATTACGCATTGCGTAATCAAATTAATGTAGAAATGGATTTTTTCACTTTTTCCCTTTTGAGTCATTCTCTGCTGTAAACCAACATCTTATCATAAAGCCAGAGCCATGAAACCGAACTGTCAAACTACAACGGGGACCGCGTAGTCGGTTGTCATTCGTTGCGGAACGCGCTAAAAGTATGCATAAGTACATGAGTATATATTTCAAGCATTCTGGTTAAAAAATATTTCAATTATTTATAAAAATATACCTAGTGTATTAATATGAAAACCCATTTTTAATAACATTTTAGAAACGTTTGAAAAAATACCGAAAAAGAATATGAACTTTCTTTTTTTTGCTCAGAAATTCTTTGCTAACATTTTTCTTGTTTTTGATTGACAAAGTGAGGTTAAGTATCTACTGACATGTTCAATGTGTAGAACAAATTTGTGCACTCGGTGGAACAAAGCCATTGTGTGTTTAAGGAGCCACTTTATTCCCATGGCTCCTGAAACACATTTTCAAGCTCACTTTGTAGGAAGCGAACGTAAAAAATGAGAAAATTGAATTAATTGATTTCAAAATTCATTTGAACATCAGCAAATCTAAAGAAAACTTAGATAAATATGTTCATGTTGGAAACATTTTTCTAAATTTGATAATGTGGATGTGTCATCCAAATCATTCATTGCATTTAAATAGGAAATAAAGAAACAACATAATTTTACACAAATATTCATTTTCCACTTGATTTTATCATTTTTACTCACTCCATGAATAATATACGTTCACGAAAATACGTTGTCTTTTTCAAACATAGTAGTTCAAATTCAACGAGTCGTTCTACGAAGGTGCACTTAAGACTGTCTGGCGTGTATTTAATTTGTACTTTATTCTGACAGCCGCGTTGTAATTGATGATGACAGTTCGGTTTCGCCCCTCTGCATAAAGCCACATTCTTCATATCCAAGTGTTCAGATGATGAGTAAGAATACAAATATTTCATACGCAAAAGCTCCGTGGTTCTTATGTCAGTTGAATTTATCCAATTTTACTGTTTCATTTCAATTTTGTTTTGAATTCGCACATCCTTTTGATTCTTTGCAAATTCTTTGCGAATTTTTCACAAAATGGAATCGTATTCTCTATGTTTTGTTACTGCGAATGACAACTGAGATGGTGCCAGCTATCACTACAATTTGATAAATTCATAAAATATTTGTAAGAACTCAAAGGCGAAATGCATTCGAACTGTGCGAATTCCAGTCAATTCGCGAATGGATAAACTCCCTTGGCGCAATAGTATGAGCAATCAAATCTTACATTCATCAGCATATTGTTCGGAGCAAATTGTGAATGTAACCATATTTTCTTGTGAATAATTTATCGCTTCATTTATATATTATTTAGTATGGCTGACCCTTTCTTGTCGGTCAGTGTCGCAAAGTCAGTTGGAATATTTACACTTGATCACATCTTTCCCGGATCACCAAAATGAAGTCCGTAATTGTTTTTATTCTTTTAATTTCACTAGTTAAAGCTCAATCCGTAGACAATAACTTACCCTACGAGTGCTACTCACGTACAAATAATACGGTATATCTCCGGTACATGTGTGCTTCCATTAAAACGATTATACCTACGTTCACGACTTGCCAGTTTGGAAACGTTGGATTTGAGCAACACTAAACTTGAGAGCAAGGATAGTTTAGTGTTGGCAATCGATCAGAAATTGAAAGAACTGTACTTGGGCGGCAGTCTATTGAAGGAATTGAACTGGGATTTCATTGCCAAACTTGATGGTTTGAAAATATTCGATATGAGCAACACCCGAATCAAAGAGATTGATGACGACTGTTTCGTGAACAGTTCAAATATGAAGGAGCTGTACTTGAGTGGCATTCCACTGAGACAAATCAGCTGCAACGTATTTGCGTCACTATCCAATCTACAAACGCTGGACCTGAGTAACACTGAAATCGAAGACATTTTTGATCACTGTTTTGTAAACAATCCAAATATGAAAGAGGTAAACTTGGAAGGTACTCCACTAAAAAAGTTCAATTTCAATACATTTTCATCAGAAGCGGAATTGGTTGAAGTGCATCTGCCATCGGAAAGCATTCAAGAGTTGGATATAAGTTGTGGGCAGTCAATTTGTCACTTTAAACAGTTTGACGATGATGATTTCTTTGAAAATATTCTCGTTTTTAACGCTTCGGCCAATCGGAATCAGAACGTTTTGGATTTATTGAAAACAATCAGATCGGATCTTAAAACACTAGATCTATCATGGAATTCTATTGGAACATTGAACGACGTCATGCTGGAGCCTTTTCGTCATATTCGACATCCAGGGTTTGATTTTTCCCATCCGCTCGATAGAGGCTCCATCGATTGAATCGAAAGAGTTTTTCAAAAGAGACTCTTTCAAAAGAATCTTTGCAACAATTTTCAATATTCTGCTACAAATTACGGCTGTAAACTATATTCGAATGATTGGTTTTGATTTATATTTTAATACTATTAAGAAAAAAACTAAAAAAATTGATTTGTTTTAAAATTTATTAAAATAATTGATTTCGTCTGATCCATATTTTGACAATCGTCGTACAATGATTTGTGACATTTCACCATACACTGCAACTTCATGCCATACTTGACATTTATACGATTGTCAAAATGATCGTTTTAATGAAATCAATAATTTCAATAAAATTTAATACAAATCAATTTTTTAGTTTTTTTTCTTCATAGTATTAAAATATAAATCAAAACCAATCATTTGAATATAGTTTACAGCCGTAATTTGTAGCAGAATATTGAAAGTTTTCGCAAAGATTCTTTTGAAAGAGTCTCTTTTGAAAAACTCTTTTGATTCAATCTATGGAGGCTCTATCGAGCGGATGGGAAAATTTAAACCTTGTCGACATCTTAATTTGAGCCATTCGAATATATCAAAAATTGAAGATGATGCATTTGTCAAAGAGTCGCAGCTAATTTCAATTGATCTTTCCAATAATTTATTGGCAGAAATCGACTTCGTGAAGATGGATCTTGCTTCTCTACAAATACTGAATTTAGTCGTCAACAAACTAACCAAACTTGGCATGGTTAATTCCGGAATCACAATGTGTATGGAATGCATAAAATAAAGCGCCATCTGTGCCATGATTCTTTTGTTCGTATAAGTCCAATGTATTCAATTTGAATACTCGGAAAACGTTCAAACGTTCAACATCATCATTCCATATAGTATTCCATAGTTCATTTTCCATAGACTTGGTGGCGCTTATATTGAGACAAACGTCAAAGCATAGGATTGTATACATTACATTTTGTGATTCCGTTAATTCAATCAATTTACCGAACCTCAAATCACTTAAAATTGCAGAGAATCCTTTCGATTCCACATATTTGAACGATACTTTGAACGAATGGGTAAAGAATGGTCTAAGGATTGATGTAGAACTTATTCAGCCTACTATGGAACAAAGAACAACAACGACCCGTGAAACTACAAAACAATCTAATTCTAAACCCATAATTCCAACCAAACCAATAACAATCGGAACAACCACTGTTGGTTCAACTTTGACCTCAACTCCGATGGCAACGACTGAAAGTGATGATTCTTCAGGCAAAAGTGCGAATTTATCATCAATTCAACCAACGCAGGTGTATATCATCATTGGTGGCGTATTTATCATCATCGTAATTGTTTCAATAGTTATTTGGTATATCTGTCGAAGAGTGTCCGCAAAAGTGGTATGCACTTTTATTTATGCTCGACAAAGTGGAATGAAATAGTTTCATGCGATTCGTAGTTACAGGCGTGGGCACACGTGTACAAGGAGGGGGTATTTGGAAAACCATCATAATGGTTCATTGCAATCAAGTGAATATTCGAACGTTTACCATCATTATACCACGGTCTCTAAACCTAGGCAAAAATGTTTTACACATCGAGCTGCGAATTAGTACATTTTACGTTGATGATACTGCTTCTTATTTTCTACATGATAGGTGTGGTCAATGCTGAAAAGAAGCTTAACTGTGTGCGTTTAATGAAACATGACCATTTGTTGTATTAAGTAAATGTGATAAAACCATCCTATGCATTGATTGATTGATGAGTGGAAAAAATATCGTTGTGAATGAAATTTAATCCAAACAAAATCGTGTTTTTTCTTTGGATTTTGAGCTATCGGCCGTCTGTCCAGGAAAACATATGAATTAAAAATAAAAAAGGCCGATAGCCCAAAATCCAGATAAAACCACGATTTTTTTTAATTAAATTTCATTGCAATATCCCCTGGCACGGCCGAACTCCAAACGGCTTTCAGTTTTCAAAAATCGTTGGAAATGAAAAAAGAAATTCTACGCTAATTTTGAGTAATGTGCATTGACATGCCATTAATTGTACGCATTTGTCAATGTTCTGTCATTATGTTCAAAATTGCGTGTATATAGGCGAGTTCAACTTTCAGCACTAGTGTGCTTTCGTCACTCGTGCCTGCTATCGCCTCCTGTGATGCGTCCATAGCATGAAAAAGTAGAAGCGACCCAATTAATTGAATGCATACGGATGGTTTTTCACACTAGTAATTTGTCAACATAATCTCTTTAAGAAATACCAACATAAATTTTTAGAATTAAATACCAGAATTTTTTACTATTTGTTTGGGCGTGTCCCTGTTCACTTAATACAAAAATAAAACTATGCGATTGAATCATCGTTCTATTTTTATTGTATGAAAAAAATTGAACATGATTAATCAATTTAAAGTCAGTTCGTTGACCCAATTAGGTCTTGAGTTTTATTTCAGTGAATTTTTTTACGATGACTTATGTAATGCAATGGAAAAAAAACCATTATTTCGTATGTATGTTTAGCATGTAAAGTTACAATTGTTCAGATTCAGCTTGTTGAATTATGTCAAAATCTATTAATTAATTGTTTACAACAGATCAAATAACCACTAAAATCACCTTATTCTCAATCATCTTCTGTGCCGGTAAATGTGATAGGCAAAGAATATACTTTTCATTCTTGGCAAAATCGCTAGACGAGACATCAAAAGCAACAAACGGCCTTCATGTTGCTGGCAACACATCGAAAATGAGCAAAAAAGTTCGTAATAATTCCATTGTTCTTAAAACATTTGAGACGAATAATCTCTTCTGACAATTCTGATTTCGGAGGTGACAAATACACCCATGCGTGCATTTATGGTATTGAATGTGTAAATCATGAATCATGTGACTATGATATGTGTCATAACATGAAAAAGCGTCAACATGCGTATTCAAACTGATTTTAAAACAGAATTTTTCAACTGATTTTTATGTAAGTTCCAATTCTAGGGGGCGGACGCACTTTTAAAAATTAAAGATATGGATACCATGGTTTTTTTTATACATGTTAAATTTGTCGAATTGAACTGTTTTTCATATTTTTCACATACCATACTTTGTTACTGCGGATGACAACTTAAATGGTACCCGCTTACTGTCATAGTTTTGGATTCCGTAGAATATTTAGAAGAATTTGAAGTTTACATCTCGGTCAATTCCAGTCAATTCGCTAATGGATAAACTCCCCTAGTGGAATAGTATGAGCAATTATGTTACGTTTATCAGTAAAATATTCAAACCAAATGTGAATGTAACAAGAAATTTTTTGGAAATAATTGTGTTGCTCTATATTTAGTCTGCCTAATTTTTTTTATCGACGATCAGTTTCATAGAGTCAGTTCGTTTATTTGCACTTGAAACTTCCACAAAGCGTTGAAATGAAGCACGTCATAGTTTTTGGATTTTTTGTTCTATTAATTGAAACACATTTGGGAGACAACGTTTTTCCCAACGAGTGTTATTCACGTACAAATGATACGGTACACCTTCAATTCATATGTAAGCAGGACATATTGGGCCAGGATGACTATGTATCCAAAGAAGGATGTCTGAAACAGAACCAATACGATAAGTCAAGTGTAAAATTGATAACATACAAGTGCGGAAAACCGATCACATTGAAAAAGTTCTATCTAGACGTACTGGACGATTTTAAGAATTCGGATATGTTGGATATATCAAATCTTGGGATTGAAGCTGTTGTTGCGTCATCTCTTCAGTTCAAATCACAAATTAAAAAACTAAGAGCATCGCACAACAATCTTACTCAGATTCCGTATTTACATTTGGATCATATGCCACAATTAACTGAAATTGATTTATCGAACAATCAATTTCAAGTTGTGAATTTTACCCAATTTTCAAAACCCAATATCATTTCATTGGTAAACCTATCAAGTAATAACATTTCGGATATCAGTGATGGAGCATTTTCACATCTACAAGAGCTTAAAACATCGGATCTGAGCAATAATAATATTCAAACGATTAATGAACGTACGTTTGCAACTAATCATAAATTGATCGATTTGAATTTGGGCAACAATTTATTGAAGAGTCTAGCACCCGCATTCATTTCATCACTGAAGATGTTGGAAAAATTAGATCTCAGCAACACTAAAATCGAACAAATTAATGATGACTGTTTTGAAAATAACACAAATCTGAAAGTGTTAAACCTTGAAGGTACTTCACTGACAAAATTCAATTTCAATACATTTTCATCAAAAGCGAGATTGCTTAAAGTGTATCTTCCATCGAATGGCATTAAAGAATTGGATATAAGTTGTGCGAAGCCAAGTTGTGATTTGAACAAGTTTTACGAAAATGATTTATTCGAGAATATTCGGATTCTTAATGCTTCGGGAAATCAAAAGCAAAATATAGCGTTATTGGGAAAAATCGCACCGAACGTTGAAACTCTCGATCTATCACGGACATCTATTGTAACATTGAACGTAGGCATGCTGAGACCTTTTCGTTATATTCGACATCTAAATTTGAGCCATTCGCAGATATCCAAAATTGAAGATGATGCATTTGTCAAACAGTCGCAGCTGATAACACTCGAACTTTCCAATAATTTATTGGCAGAAATCGACTCCGTGAAGATGGATCTTGCTTCTCTACAAACACTGAATTTAGTCGGCAACAAACTAACCAAACTTGGCATGGTCAATTCAATTAATTTACCGAACCTCAAATCACTTAAAATTGCAGAGAATCCTTTCGATTCCACATATTTGTACGATACTATGAACGAATGGGTAAAGAATGGTCTAAGGATTGATGTAGAACTTATTGCACCTACATCTCTTACGCCAACTACAACTGCGATTGCAACAACAAATATCAATTTAACATCGACCACAGTCTCACCAGTCCAAACTACAGAAAAACCCAAGCCTAAACCCACAACTCCCATCAAGACAATAACAATCGGAACAAAAGATGCTGTATCGAGTTCAACTTCATCTGAGCCTACAACTCCAACTGCGATTGCAACAACAAATATCGATTTGACATCGACCACAGTCTCACCAGTCCAAACTACAGAAAAACCTAAACCGAAACCTAAATCTAAACCCACAACTCCCATCAAGACAATAACAATCGGAACAACAGATACTGACTCGAGTTCAACTTCATCTAAGCCCACAACTCCAACTGCGATTACAACAACGAATGCAGATTCAACATCAACATCGATCACCGTTTCGCCAATTAAATCTAAAGGTAAGTACACGGTTTGCAATGAATGAAAAGATGTCCAGACTCTCAATTCAAAAATCTCATTATGAACTCCTATATTTTGAATTAATAAACTATTAGTAGCTGCTGTTTATAGGCAATAGTTGTGGATACTATGCTATTTTGAATAGCTGCTATCGAACGAACGTACAAACAAAGACACAACAATGAAGATAACTCAAGCAAGAGAATGTGCGCGCGCGATTTGATTGTGCGTTTTACACTCACTCGCCGTCTTCACTGTTTGTTTATCGAACATTAATACACAAAGTGAATAGTGTCTATGTGTATGTGGCAGCTACTAATAGTTTGATAGTTCGAAATATACTAGTACACAAAGTGAGATCTCTGACAATGTTCATCACATGAAATTGGCCGCAAAAATGTGGAGAAATTTTTCTTTAGATATTTTGATTTGGAGACATACAAATTCAAGTTGTACATTAAAAAATATGACCTTACATAAGTGAGAGATACTTGCTTCAACGGAAATGTAGCTTTGAAAATGTCTGTTCATTGTTTTTGTTTGATTTCATTTCAGATGAACCATGGTACAAAACTCCATATTTTATATCTGCATCAGTTGTAATTCTATTATTAGTCATTTGTCCGATTTTATGTGCTTTGACTATCTATTGTTGCCGGAAACAACGTTTTAATACCGCCTTGAACAATTTTCTATATGGCAATATAGTTAGATCGAAACCCGAATCGGCATTGGATGCACATGCACAGGCTGATCGGCTTTCGTATGATCCAAAATATGAATTTCATCGCAACAGGTCATACCTAGAGGCAAATGCAGAACGATTCAACTACGATAAACTGGCTCCTCTAGTATCGCCTGATGCTCGAGCATCTTCTGTGCCAGTAAATGTTATAGAGAAAGATCACTTTTCATTCTTGACCAAACGGCCAGGTGGAACATCAATAGCAACAAATGGCCTTCATGTTGCTAGCGACGCACTAAAATCGAGCAAAAGAGTTAGTAACGCTTTCGTTGCTCTTAAAACATTTAAGACGAATAATTGGAATGAATTTTCTTAAGATTCCCCTATCGTAGAAGAAAACGAAATGCAAAAAAAATGTTCCTGTTGGATTGTACAATGTACACCATATGATGATGTAAGAATAAAATTGATTTTGGCACAGTTTTAATATGAATTTTTTTCTTAAATCTCTTTCATTAATGCGAATGCATGAAGCATTTTGGAATAAATCAAATTTTGTCGGTCAAAAATAATTATGCGCTCATGGTCAATGTTCAAATGATATCAAACACTTGACGATAAAAACACATACACTCCATGACGGACTAGTGTATTCCATTATAAATACGCTCATACAAACACTTACTCTGTCATGGAGTATATATGAGGCTGTGAGAATGAAAATGGCAATATAGGAATGAACATTCTGAAGCGCATCAAGAAAAAAAAATTCGCAAAAGTGAATCATCAGTTCTGAATACGCAAAAGTGAACCATGAACCTCCTATGCTGCCCATGTAAATTCATGTTTCACTTTCGCATATTCATAACTCATGATTCATTTTTGCGAATTTTTTTTCTTGATGCGTTTCAGAATGTTTATTCCTGTATTGCCATTTTCATTCTCACAGCCTCATATGTGTTTTACTCATATTTGGAGTAGAAACTCAGAAATTAAACGGAAAATGCTGTGAGTGTATCACTGTACTGCACGAAAAAATTATAGATTATGGGACTATGATATGTGTCATAACACGAAATAGCTTCGTAGAAATGAATTTTATCACTTTTTCTCGTTTGAATCATTCTCTGCTGTAAACCAAAATCTGACCATAATTTGGTCACATTCTCCTTTTATGGCCACATTCTCTCTATCAAAATGTTCAAATGGTGAATAAAAATGAAATAATTTTATACGCAATCGCAAGGATTTTTATGTAGGTTGAATTCAAGAACTCACACGCTTTTAAAAATTAAACATATATGCATTCCATGGATTTTTTTATATTTAAAAAAAATATAACAAATACGAATCTTTATAATTATAATTTTGGCACTTATCAAATATATGCAACGAAGCCACTTCTTTTTAACATCTAATTTAACAGTTTGGTAAAGTATATTCGAATTGTGCGAATTCCAGTCAATTTACGAATGGATAAACTCCCCTAGCATAATACAATTAGCAATCATATCAATTGTGTTGCTCTGTACTTTAAATTTTTAAATTTAGTCTGCTTAAAAGTCGTTTGACGGTCAGTTTCATGGAGTCAGTTCGTGTCATTTATGCTTGAAACTTTTTCATCAAAAAAGCAAAATGAAGCACGTCTTAGTTTTTGGTTTTTTAGTTTTATTAATTGAAGCTCGTTTTGGAGGCAAAGGGTGCCATTTACGTTCAGGTGACACGGTACAAGTGCAATTCATTTGCGACCAGGATAAAAATTTAGTACCAAAAGGTAGATGTCTGAACTCGAATCAATTTAATATTTCAAGTGTAAAATTGATGACATTCAAGTGCGGAAGTCCGATCACATCGCTAACGCTCTTTTTTAGCGTAATGAACACTTATAAGAATCTGGATGTGTTGGATATATCAAATCTTGGGATTGCAGCTGTTTATATTTCATCTCTGCAGTTCAAATTACAATTAAAAACACTAAACGCATCGCACAACAATCTTACTCAGATTCCGAACTCACTTTTCGATCATATGCCACTACTAACTGAAATTGATTTTTCAACGAATCAAATTCAAGTTGTGAATTTTAAACGCCTTACTGAATCCAATATCATTTCGTCGGTAAACTTATCAAATAATGAAATTTGGCATATCGATGATGGATCCTTTTCAAATTTACTAAAACTTGAAACATTGGATCTGAGCCACAATCGCCTTGGATATTTTAGTGATGCTGTGTTGACAGGTAACAAACGTTTGACATTTTTGAACTTGGGATTCAATATATTACAAACGATTGATAATGATGCGTTTGCAGGCAACAACAAATTGAAAGAGTTGCATTTGAACAAAAATCCATTGAAGAATCAAAATCTCACATTCGCTTCATCACTGAAGATGTTGGAAATATTGGATCTGAGCAACACTCGAATTAAGGAGGTTAATGATGACTGTTTTGTAAACAATCCAAATATGAAAGAGGTAAACTTGGAAGGTACTCCACTGAAAAGGTTCAATTTCAATACATTTTCATCAGAAGCGGGATTAGTTGAAGTGCATCTGCCATCGGAAAGCATTCAAGAGTTGGATATAAGTTGTGGGCAGTCAATTTGCCACTTTAAACGGTTTGACGATAATGATTACTTCAAGAACATTCGCTTCTTCATTGTTTCGGGAAATCGAAAGCAGAATATATCGAACTTATTGAAAAAAATGGGATCGGATCTTGAAAAACTGGATCTATCGCGGACATCTATTGCAACATTGAACGTCAGCATGCTGGAAACATTTCCCAACTTACGACATCTTGATTTGAGTAATTCGAACATATCCAAAATTGAAGATGATGCATTTGCCAAACAGTCGCAGCTGATATCAGTTGATCTTTCCAAGAATTTGTTGGCAGAAATCGACTCCGTGAAGATGAATCTTGCTTCTCTACAAATACTGAATTTAGTCGGCAACAAACTAACCAAACTTGGTATGGTCAATTCAAACAATTTACCAAACCTCAAGTTACTTAAAATTGCAGAGAATCCTTTTGATCCCACATATTTGTACAACACTTTGAACGCATGGGTAAAGAATGGTCTATGGATTGATGTAGAACTTATTCAGCCTACTACAACTCAAAAAACAACAACGACCCGTAAAACTACAAAACAATCTAATTCTAAACCCACAATTCCAACCAAAACCTCAATAATTGGAACAACAACTGACTCAACTTCGGCTTCAACTTCGTTGGCAACGACTGAAAGTGATGATTCTTCAGGCAAAAGTACGAATTTATCATCAATTCAACCAACGCAGGTCAATTCAACCATCATCATTGGTGGCGTGTTTATCATCATCGTAATTGTTTCAATAGTTATTTGGTATATTTGTCGAAGAGTGTCCGCAAAAGTGGTAGGCACAAGTGTAACTATAGCCGTAGATACCGGCGGTGGCACAGTTTCAGCAAACGAAATTCGATTTGTTGAGCCTACTTACGAAGAAATCAAAGAACCCATGCAACCCATGCAAACTTTCCCTTCAGCATATGCCATCGGCAATATTCATGAAACGCCACATTATGAAAATGCACCAACGCATACAACAACCTTGGATCGTTATCGATTTAATGCTGCATTGCCATCGAATGAATATTCAACCGTTTATCATCATTATACTATGGTTTCTAAACCGAAACCAAAACGTTTTTCACAGCGGACTGCGAACTAGTACAATTCTTGTTGATGATGATGCTGCTTCTTCTTTTCCACATATTGAGTGTCGTCAATATTGAAAAGATTTTTCTATGTATTAGTTGATTGGATGAGTGGAAAAAACTATCGTTGCGAATGGAAAAAAATTGCACACTTACGGTTATAATTCTTTTCAATTCGCTTTCCCGGTCTTCGCATTTATTGAGTGATGTGCACTGATGACATTAAACACACGCAATCATCAATATTTTGTCAATATGGATGCGTCCATAGCATGGAAAAGAAGAAGCAATACCATTTCAGTGAATGCATATGGTTGATTTTTCATAATTTTTCAACGATATCGCTTTTAAAACACCAACATAAATTTTTAGTAAGAAATACGATTTTTTTTTTCAATATTTGTTCGTGTTCGTTCACTTTATAAGAAAATAAAACTGTGTAATCGAATCATTGTTCTATTTTTATTGTACATGAAAATAAAACCGTGCATGATTAATCAACTCAAAATCATTCCGTTGACCAAATTAGGTCTTGTGTTTTATTTCAGTGATATTTATTTGGATTATTTACATACAATTGCAAAATTGCACTTTATTGCTAAATCTTTTTCATTTATACGATTGGAATAAATCATATTTTGCAGGTTACAAATAAATACGTGCTCATGGTCATCACATTCCATTCACATTTGAATGAAATTTTCAAATGATATCAAACATTCAACGATATCTAATTGCGAAATTTTGAAACTCTAAAAATGGATCTTAGGCGTATCTCTGTATTGCATAATCAAATCATAAATCATGTGGCTATGATATGTGTCATGAACATGAAACGGCTTCAACATGTGTAATCAACCTAATTTTATCACTTTTTCTCTTCTGAATCATTCCCTGCTGTAAAACAACATCTGATCATAAAGCCACATTATCCATATCGAACACACACAATAATGAGGAGTTAAGTTTTATACTAAAGTGTCATAACCAATACATTCAACTATAGTTGATATATTCGAATGGGATAAATGTCATCTCATTTGTGTATATTTGTTGGTGCTGACATCTGCTTTTACGATGAACTTTATCCCATTCGTATATGTCAACTATATTTGAATGTATTGGTTATGTCACTTTAGTATACAACTTAACTCCTCACTATTGTGTGTGAAGTATTCAGATTATGAGTAAGAATACAATTATTTATATGTGATTGCTAGGGGTTTTTATGTAAGTTGAGATTATTGAATTTAACTATTTCATTGCAATTTTGATCTGAATTCGCACATTGTTTGCGAATTTTTTACGTTCTTTGCTTTCTTACTGCGAATGAAAATTAGGATGGTTCCAGCTGTCACTGTTTCCAAGTTGAATATTTCGCTAAATTTTCAAGAATTTGAAGACGAAATACATTCGAATTGTGCGAATTCCGGTCAATTCGCGAATGGATAAAATCCCCTAGCGGTAATAGTGTGAGCAAGCAAATTTTACATTCATCAGCATATTGTTCGGAATAAGTTGAGAACGTAACCATATTTTCTTGTGAATAATTTGTCATTTCACTTTTTTTTATTTAGTATGGTCAACCCTTTCTCATTCGTCAGTGTCGCAAAGTCAGTTCAAATATTTGCACTTGAAACATCCACAAAGCGTTGAAATGAAGCACGTCATAGTTTTCGGTGTTTTAGTTCTATTAATTGAAGCTCAATTTGGAGGCAACAATTTTCCAATCGAGTGCTATTCACGTACAGGTGGCACGATATACCTTCAATTCATTTGCGTACAGGATCAACATTTACTAAAGAAAGGATGTCTGAACTCGAATCAATACGATAATTCAAGTGTGAAATTGATAAGGTATTCATTTAGAAGTCCAAGCACATCTCTAACGCTCTACCTCGACGTACTGAACACTTTTGTGAATCTGAATGTGTTGGATATATCAAATCTTGGGATCGAACAATTTGTAATTCAACAGAGTATCAGGACGGATGCTGATTCTTCATCCTCTCTGGAGTTCAAATCACAAATTAGAAAACTAAACGATTGCACAAGCTGGTTGTAAGCACGATTGCACTGAGATTCCGAGCTCACTTTTGGATCATATGCCACAATTAACTGAAATTGACTACAGTTTCAATCAAATTCAAGACGTAAGTTTTAACCGATTCACAAAATCCAATCACATTTTGTCGGTGGACTTTTCAAATAATCACATTTGGAATATGGATTGGAGGTCGTTTGCAAATTTAAAACAACTTGAGACATTGGATTTGAGCCACAATCACCTCAGATATTTTAGTGACGCTGTGTTTTCAGGCAAAGAAAATTTAAAATTGTTGTACTTGAATAATAATCCGTTAGATAGATTTGTTGTAGTTTTTTCACTTCACGCTTTGCAAACTTTAGATCTGAGTAATTCGCATATTGAAACGATGGATGATGATAAGTTTGGAAAAAATCATAAATTGATAGAATTGAACTTGGGCAATAGTTCATTGAAAAGTCTACTCAACAACCACTTGATGAAGACTCTACTCATTGTAGACTAATAGTACACTCTCCGTATCAAGTATTGACCGGATACTAATTGAGAAATGTTGAATGAAACTCTGAAAATGGATCTTAAGCGTATCTCTGTATTGCATGAGTAAATCATAAATGATGTGACTATGATATGTGTCATAACAGGAAATATCTTCAACATGCGTATTACGCATTGCGTAATCAAATTAACACTTTTTCCCTTTTGAGTCATTCTTTGCTGTAAACCAATATCTTATCATAAAGCCACATTCTTCATATCCAAGTGTTCAGATGATGAGTAAGAATACAAATATTTCATACGCAAAAGCTCCGGGGTTCTTATGTCAGTTGAATTTATCCAATTTTACTGTTTCATTTCAATTTTGTTTTGAATTCGCACATCCTTTTGATTCTTTGCGAATTTTTCACAAAATGGAATCGTATTCTCATTGTTTTGTTACTGCAAATGACATTGTTTTGTTACTGCAACTGAGATGGTGCCAGCTATCACTACAATTTGATAAATTCATAAAATATTTGTAAGAACTCAAAGGCGAAATGCATTCGAACTGTGCGAATTCCAGTCAATTCGCGAATGGATAAACTCCCTTGGCGCAATAGTATGAGCAATCAAATCTTACATTCATCAGCATATTGTTCGGAGCAAATTGTGAATGTAACCATATTTTCTTGTGAATAATTTATCGCTTCATTTATATATTATTTAGTATGGCTGACCCTTTCTTGTCGGTCAGTGTCGCAAAGTCAGTTGGAATATTTACACTTGATCACATCTTTCCCGGATCACCAAAATGAAGTCCGTGATTGTTTTTATTCTTTTAATTTCACTAGTTAAAGCTCAATCCGTAGATAATAACTTACCCTACGAGTGCTATTCACGTACAAATGATACGGTATACCTCCGGTACATGTGTGCTTCGGATGGTAGTCCAAAAAGGTGTCCAAATCAAAATGAATACGTGAAATTGATAAAATATGAGTGTGAAAATAGTCCAATCAAATCACTGACATTCTACCTAAACGAATTTAACTCTTTCAAGAATCTAAATGCGTTGGATATATCAAATCTTGGGATTGAAACTTTAAATATTTCCATTTCGAATATACCAATATTGGATGCCATAAAATCCAATAATAATTTGATGGCAAATTTTTCGCACAATAAACTGAAGGTTATCGATCTTGAATCATTGAAACATTTAGAAACATTGGATGTGAGCAACAATAAAGAATGACTACCAGCTTTGCCCTATTTGAACTTTTCATGATATTTGTACGTGAAATTTATAAGTCCATCTATTGAAAAAACCCAAAATCAATGAAAGTCCAAAGTTTTTCATAGATTATCTATGGTATTTACATGTGACACATACAGCGCCATCTATTGAAAAAAGTCACAATCGTGTCAAGTTGAAATAAGGCAAAATAACCCAGAAAATGGTTGTCATTCTTTAATGATCTTCGTGACGATTTGTTCTCTGGTTATCAAAATTTGAAATTCCTAAACTTGAGTGATAATCCATTAAAACGATTATACCTACGTTCACGACTTGCCAGTTTGGAAACGTTGGATTTGAGCAACACTAAACTTGAGAGCAAGGATAGTTTAGTGTTGGCAAACGATCAGAAATTGAAAGAACTGTACTTGGGCGGCAGTCTATTGAAGGAATTGAACTGGGATTTCATTGCCAAACTTGATGGTTTGGAAATATTCGATATGAGCAACACCCGAATCATAGAGATTGATGACGACTGTTTCGTGAACAGTTCAGATATGAAGGAGCTGTACTTGAGTGGCATTCCACTGAGGCAAATCAGCTGCAACGTATTTGCGTCACTATCCAATCTTCAAACGCTGGACCTGAGTAACACTGAAATCGAAGACCTTTCTGATGACTGTTTTGTAAACAATCCAAATATGAGTGTGTTAAACTTGATAGATACTCGACTGAAAAAATTCAATTTCAATACATTTTCATCAAAATCGGGATTGGTTGAAGTGCATCTTCCATCGAATAGCATTGAAGAACTGGATATAGGTTGTGCGAAGACAATTTGTCACTTTAAACAATTTGACGATGATGATTTCTTTTAAAATATTCTCGTTTTTAACGCTTCGGCCAATCGGAATCAGAATATTTTGGATTTATTGAAAACAATCGAATCGGATCTTAAAACACTAGATCTATCATGGAATTCTATTGGAACATTGAACGACGGAACATTGAACGACTGGAGCCTTTTCGTCATATAAGGTGTTGAACCTTAATTTGAGCCATTCGCAGATTTGAAGATGATGCATTTGTCAAAGAGTCGCAGCTAATTTCAATTGATCTTCCCAATAATTTATTGGCAGAAATCGACTCCGTGAAGATGGATCTTGCTTCTCTACAAATACTGAATTTAGTCGGCAACAAACTAACCAAACTTGGCATGGTTATTTCAATCAATTTACCGAACCTCAAATCACTTAAAATTGCAGAAAATCCTTTCGATTCCACATATTTGTACGATACTATGAACGAATGGGTAAAGAATGGTCTAAGGATTGATGTAGAACTTATTGAGCCTACTATGGAATAAAGAACAACAACGACCCGTGAAACTACAAAACAATCTAATTCTAAACCCATAATTCCAACCAAACCAATAACAATCGGAACAATCACTGTTGGTTTAACTTTGACCTCAACTCCGATGGCAACGACTGAAAGTGATGATTCTTCAGGCAAAAGTACGAATTTATCATCAATTCAACCAACGCAGGTGTATATCATCATTGGTGGCGTGTTTATCATCATCGTAATTGTTTCAATAGTTATTTGGTATATCTGTCGAAGAGTGTCCGCAAAAGTGGTATGCACATGTATAAATACAGCCGTAGTTACAGGCGTGGGCATAGTTTCAGCAAACCAAATTGGATTTATTGGGCCGGCCAACGAAGAAATCAAAGAACCCATGCAACCCATGCAAACTTTCCCTTCAGCATATGCCATCGGAAATGCACTAATGCATACAACAACCTTGGATCGTTATCATTTGGAAAACCATCATGGTTCATTGCAATCGAATGAATATTCGAACTTTTACCATCATTATACCACGGTCTCTAAACCTAGGCCAAAACGTTTTCCACATCGGTCTGCGAATTAGAACATTTTTCGTTGATGATACTGCTTTTTATTTTCTACATGATGGGTGTCGTCAATGCTGAAAAGAAGGTTCTTTATCATTTTGCAACAATATCCTTTTAGAAAACACCAACATAAATTATTAGTAAGAAATACGAAAAATTTTCAAAAAAGTTTGTATATGTTAACTTTAGTTAAACTTGATAAAAAAATAAAACTATGTAATTGAATCATCAATCTATTTTTGTTGTATAAGAAATGAACATGATTAATCAACTCAAAGTCAGTTCGTTGACCAGATTACGTTTTGAGTTTCATTTCGGTGATATTTATTAGGATTAGAAAAAACCATTCTTTCGTATGTATGTTTAGCATGTAAAGTTACAATTGATCAGATTCAGCTTGTTGAATTATGTCAAAATCTATTAATTAATTCTTTACAACAGATCAATTAACCACTAGAATCGCCTGATTCGCAAGCATCTTCTGTGTCAGTAAATGTAATAGAGAAAGAATACTTTTCATTCTTGGCCAAACCGCCATGCGAGACATCAATATATTGATCTGGCTATAGCAACAAAAAGCTTTGATGATGCTACATAGGTATCGAACAAAAGAGTTAGTAATGATTCCATTGTTCTTAAAACATTTGAGACGAATAATCTCTTCTGAGAATTCTGATTTCGGAGGTGACAAATACACTTATGCGTGCATTTATGGTCATCACATTTGAATTAAATGTTTAAATCATGTGACTATGATATGTGTCATAACATGGAAAAGCGTCAACATGCGTAATCAAACTGATTTTTAAACAGATTTTTTCAAGGGAGAAAGTACTAGATTTGTATAATTCAAATAATGCAATCTAGTACAAAAATAATCCCAAATAATCCTTCGGAATTCTCAATAATGCTCAATAATGCTTTTCATAATATCAATAAATAATAGCAAACTATGGTCAAGTAATTGATGCTTGCGTGCATTTGAATGCCTTGAA